GATCAGTGTCTAATTTCTAAAATCTATAAGATACTGCAACACCTCAACAACAAAAAGACAAATAACTCAATTAAAAAATGGGCAAACGATATGAACAGATACTTCACCAAAGAACACATTCAGGCGGCTAACAGACACATGAGGAAATGCTCAGGATCATTAGCCGTTAGAGAAATGCAAATCAAAACTACAATAAGACACCATCTCACTCCAACAAGGCTAGCATTAATCCAAAAAACACAAAATAATAAATGTTGGAGAGGTTGTGGAGAGTCTGGAACACTTACACACTGTTGGTGGGAATGTAAAATGGTACAACCACTTTGGAAAAGGTCCTGGCGCTTCCTTAAAAAACTAGAAATAGAAGTACCATATGATCCAGCAGTCCCACTCCTTGGAATATAAGAGCCATCACACAAATAGATGTATGCACATCCATGTTCATTGCAGCACTGTTCACAATAGCAAAATGATGGCAACAACCTTGGTGCCCATCAACAGACAGATTGATAAACAAATTATGGTACATACACACAATGGAACACTATGCAATGATAAAGAACAATGATGAATCCGAGAAACAGCTCCAACACGGATGAATCTGGAGGGCATCATGCCGAGTGAAATTAGTCACTCACAAAAGGACAAATATTGTATGAGATCACTATTATAAGAACTCAAGAAAAGGTTTAAACACAGAAGAAAATATTCTTTGATGGTTATGAGGGTAGGGAGGGAAGGAGAGGGGAATTCACTAACTCGATAGTAGACAAGAATCATCTTAGGTGAAGGGAAGGACAACACACAATATGGGGAAGTCAGCACAACTGGACCATGACAGAACCCCAAGCAGATCTTCTGACCTAACATCTTACTGCTCCCCTGAACCAGCTGGCTTCTTTAACCCCTGGGTTGGGTTCTAACAAGCCCAACACTTGTTAGAACTGCCCAACTGGAATTTGGCAAGGTTGCTGGGCACACTCTCCTTCATTTTGTCATTTCTGTCTGAAACTGGACATTGGGCTCCCAGTTGGCAACAAGAGAGTAATAAGAATAAACTTCTTGCGCTAACAAGCCATGTCACTTCTTCAGGGCTCCTGCCCACTCCCAACAGTCAGCAAAGCACCAAGCTTCCTCCAGATAGCCTGGGGACTTGGGAGACCCAGGGACCTCAGGGTCTTCTTCTGGTAATCTGATAAACCAGGTGAATGCAGTTCTTATAAGAGCAGGTGGCCTGAGCGCAACAGGGCAAAGTGACTTGAACAGGGGAGCCCCTCCTGGAGCTGAGTTTGGAGGAAGGCATCCATGTATGGCTAGTAGAAGGAAGTTTTTGGGTGCATGAGATACTTTGGGCTGTGACTTGAGGTACTGAGGCATCAGAGGTGGCCTTCTTGTAGTGGGAAGGACCTGGGACTCTGGGACCAGATAATTGGGATTTGACTTCCAGCTCTGCCACGTGTCCGGCAGCTTTGAGACTTTGGGGTCATCACTTCAATGTCTCAGTTATTCTCATCTATCCACAGGGACAATAAAAGCAACTATTTCGTAGAGTTGTTGTGAGCATAAAATGAGGTATTTTATGTTTAGAGTTTTTTGAAGGAGTTCCTAGGTGGCACAAATGGTTAAGCACTCGCCTGCTAACCCACTATCTGAGTTCAAAGCCACCCAGAGGCACCTAGGAAGAAAAACCTGGAGATCTACTTCTGAAAAATCAGCCATAGAAAACCCTAGGGAGCACAAATCTTCTCCGACACCCATGGGGTTGCCATGAGTCGGAGTTGACTCAACAGCAACTGGCACTGGTTTGTTAAGGGTTTAACACTGCGCCTGACACATTGTAAGTGTTCAATGAATATTAGCTGCTATTATGATCACCGTTATTATTTGATGAGAGAACAGGAAGGATAAATGGAAGCCCCCTCTTTGTGCAGATGAGGGACCGAGGCCCAGAGAGGAGAAGGCATGCCCCACTTGGAGTCAGTGAAGAGCTTGGACCACAGCCCAAGGCTCCAGGCTCCCAGCCACCATGTCTGCCTCCTCTCCCCAGGGACAGCAGAGGAAGAAGGAGCTGGTTAGTGGAGTCCCCTGAGGATAGTGTCTACTCTCAAGGGTGGGCTTCCTGCATCTGGGTGGGACTTTTCCCAATTTGTCAAGAGAAAACATTACCAGGCGGAATGTCCGCAGCACGGACAGGCTTCCCTTCTTGACCGTGCTGAGCTCCATCAAGCTCACAGTGACGATGATGCAGTCAAAGATATTCCACCTCTTCTGGAAGTAATAGTAAGGGTCAAAGGCGATGATTTTGAAGATCATTTCCGCAGTAAAAAATATGGTAAAGACCTGTGAATGGAAACAGGGTTTCATCGCGGTGGAATCTGTTGGGTCAGGAGGCAATGGCCAGTATGGTAGCAGGAAAACATCTTGTTTTGAAAACACCAAATCCTCTTATCTTGTTTTTGTTGAATGTCTATGTTCTCTGCAAGTTCCTAAAGGGTTGGGTCAGGGAACACTCAGTGTGGCAGAATAGAGAGATTTCTGGACCAGTGCTCAGGGAATGTGCATTAGAACCCACGCCTCTTTTTTCCATATGAAATGAAGAGTGGAGTACGTGGGAACAATCATTAGGATAATTATTATTACATGATTATGTAAATGAGAGGCCAGTTTGGTTCAGTCATTCAAAAGCATGGATTTTGGGGCTACACAAACCCAGATAAAAATCCCAACTTAGTCATTTCCTAGCTTGTGTAACCTTGGACAAGTAACCCATCCTCTCTGAATCTCAATTTCCTCATCTGTATAATGGGCATAAAATGAGATAATGGGCTTTTTAGCAAAGAGCCTGGCAGATAGTAGTTCATTAATAAATAATAGTTATTAGCAAGAACAATACTAATACATTTTCTCTAAGGTTCTTTTTAAGGAGTCCCTGGGTGGTGCTAATGGTTAAGTGCTCCACTACTAGCCAAAAGGTTAGCGGTTCGAACCCACCTAGAGGTGCCTCGGAAGACACAGGCCTGGCAATCTGCTTTTGAAAGGTCACAGCCTTGAAAACCCTATAGACCGGTTCTATTCTGCGCACGCAGGGCCGGGCACCATGAGTCGGAATCGACTTGGTGGCAGCTAACAGCAGTAAGATTCTTTCCAGCTCCGAGGGTCTTTAAGTCAATTGTCTTAAACAAGACAGAATTCTGAAGCTGAGAGAAGTCAGAATCAGGCTCAAGTCATAAAAGTAACATCAGGGAAGGGAAACAGGTAAGGAAGACAGCAAAGACCAGAATCAAGTGCTTTTCTCTCACGCGATGTCATCAAAGTCTCTCTCCAGCCTATGAAATAGGCAAACTGCAGGCTGAGAACCAGGCTGAGAGTCTAGGGTACTTGCCCAATGTCCAAGGCTGCAGCTGCGTAACTCAGAGAGCATCTTCTGAGTGTGCTCTGAGGGCAAATGGGGGTGGTGGGGGGTGAGGTTGGGGTGCTGTGCCCTTGAGAGACCTGCGTCGACTCTGGTTCCACCCTCACCAGCTGTGCACCCTCAGGTGGGGTTTTCAGCCTGAGTCTTGGTGCTCTCTCTTGTGAAGTGAGGGTGAGGATAACGCCATAGTGTTGAGGTAGCGTTTATAAACCTCCTGACTCATCATAGGCACCAAACAAATGTCTTTCTTTTAAAAAAATGGCACCGTTCTCGGTCACAGTGGGAAAGGCCTTTTCTCTCTCTAGCCTCAACTTCTCCACCCGTCAAAAGTCCTTTCATAAGGTCCTCTGTGGTCTTAGGCTGGCTTCTTGGAAGTAAACTCTCCCCTCTTGTCCCAGTTTCCCTGTTCGTAGGATCTTTAAACAGAATGTGACCTCTTAGACTAGGCTCTGCCGAAAGGTAACACATACTGGTTCCACCGTGTCCAGAATCTACTGGATTTCCTTTCACATCCCTGGACTGGGGGGACGGGAGGTTTCTAGGGAAGATGATCACATTTCTTCTGAGACCCCATTCTCTACCTAAGTCTGCAGCCTAGAGAAAGAATAGCTGGGTGATCCCAGTAGACCTGGTAGGCCACCTCCAGGGGTGGACATGGCGGTGGAGCCCTGGCCTTTCCGAGCTACTGTTTGTCATGTACGCACACACACACACACTCACACAAAGTCACACAATCATGTACACTCACACACATGCACATCAGCATGGACAATAACATGTACACTCTCACGCACACTCACGCGCACACACAATAGTAGGTCCTGTGAGGTGGCTAAGCTCAGGAGATAAGGAGTGTGGGCTCTGGAGCCAGTCTGCCTGGGATCAAATCCCAGCTCTGCCACTCACTCACCTTCATGACCTTGGGAAAACTATTTCACCTCTTGTGCTGAAGTTTTCCCATTTGTGAAAAGGGATAATAACAGTACCTACCACACAGGGTTACTGTGAAAATAAAATGATAAACTCCATGAAAAGCCACTGAAGCCACGTCCAGCCTAGAGCAAGTGTCCAAATAAAGCTGGCTATGATTTTATTCCTGTGGGTGGGGCAGAGATGGGAGACGGCTGCTCTCCCTCTGAGTCAGATACTTTACTCAGCATGTAGCAAAATGCAGTACGGATTTTATCTTGTTAAAAGCAAATAATACTAAAAAAATAATGGAGAAAATTTTAAGTCGTGTCATGTCTAAACCAGATGCAAAAGGAAAGTTCTGACTCCCTAACGGTTTAGTTAGGCCAGCAAACATGTTTCCATGGTCCCTGTCTCCCTCCCACTGTCTTTCCCTTCCCTTCTCTTCCTTTCCCCAACTTTTTCTTGCAGTGACAGCATTGAAAAGTCATAGCCACTCTTTCTAGCAGTCATAAAAAAGTAACTAATAGAACTGGAAGGAAACTTCCAAGTTCATAAATTGTCATTAGCTGAGAAAGTGTCATTTATCATCATTTCCTGAGAAAAGCAATTGTGGTCCAGAGAACTCAAGAGGGAGCTAGCTGTCCCTAGCTCGGGACTCTGCCCACTTCCTGTGCTTTTCCATTCCGATGCAATCGTCATCAGCTCAGCCTTGTCCTCCAGGCTCGACTTCCTTCACTCGGTGTCCACACATCTCCCACACTGCCCCTCTGCTCTCAGCTAACTAGATCAGTGCTCCAGTGAGTGAGGGCATGCTCCCATCCCACCCAGAAGCTCCCTGGCCACCCAGCGCCGGCAGTGCCGGACAGTGTACTCACAATGTTGCCTATTTGCAGCATGGATTCGAAGGCGGAGCTCATGCCGTGGTGCTCCATGGCCATGAAGACAGTGTTCACCACGATGCACAAGGTGATGGCAAGCTCCGCGAAGGGGTCCGTCACAATCCCAAAGAGACGCGTCTTGAGCTTCACCCATGAGGAGCAGCACTCCCAGATCAGATACTTCCGAGCCAAGCTGGTGAAGCAGGGTGGGCACCTCTGTTTAGACTCCTCGAGTTCTGCATCACAGGTGTGGTCAATGACAGCATCAGCCATTTGTCCCCTCAGGGCCTCACCCCGTGGTCACCCCTGGACCTTGTCATTATTAATGCCCACAGCCTCCGACATCTCATGGCAGTCCTCCCTCTCTCTGAGGACTCCTTTCCACTTTCTGAGCTTATTAACTCCAGCAACTCCAATCCAATCTCTGCCCCCATCCAGTCCTCCAAACCACTGACCCTACCCCTTTTTTTTACGGCCCATCACCTATGTCATGTCCTTACTTCTCAACCCACCCAGCTTAGATTTCATGTCTGTCCCTCTAACTATGCTCTTGCAGACCCTCTTAATTTCCTTGTCCCTCTCCCGTGCCATTGTGCTGCCTGGCAAAACCCCAACCTGAATACACCCAGCTTGCAGCCTACTCTGTGTCTGCACCCAGGCGGGTGAGCCTGACTGGAGAGAAGCACACAACCATGCTGACTAGTCCTCCTAGGACCCTGGCCTCCAGTGTGTCACTGCCCAGAAATCCTGCCACGTTTCTGGATTCAGTCCAGCCTTCACTCTTCCAGTTTGCCATCTCTCACTTCCTCCAGTCTCCAACTCCTTCTCTCCACTCCTTACTCTCAACTGACGAGCTCACTTTTATTTCACCAGAATGTAGAATCACTCACAAAAGAACTTCCTCATCTTCCTATCACCAGGTCTGCAACACCTCTGCAAGCCATGCCCATATTCTTCATGCCCATCACAGTGCACGAGCTCGCTATACTCTTCCTGCTTGTATCCTACCCCTTCCTCTCTCACCTACTCAAGACCTGTGTTCCCCCTTCTCTCCCTTCTGGACCATGCCCATTAGCATGGAAACATAGTTTGATTATATCCCAACTTTGCAAATGACCTGGCTGAAGTCCATGTTCTCCTCCAACTTCTGTCCCATTAACAGCGAAATTCCTTGCAAGAGTTTTCTACACTTAACCTTCTCCACCTTCTCACCTCCTGTTCTCTCCTCAGCCCCTGGAATCAGGCTGTTACCCTGTTGAATTTAAATAAATAGCCAGTTTCCAGTCCTCATTTTACACTGCCTCACACAGCATTTGACAGAATTTATTATGCTCTCCTTGAAAAGCTTTTCCCATTTGGCTTCCAGGATGCCATAGTCTCCTGGTTTTTGTCCCATATCAGAGACCGCTGCTTCTCAATTTCTGTTTCTGGCTTCTCCTTCCTTTCCTGCCTTTAGATGTTGCAGAACTCAAGCATTCTCTCGCTGGTCTTTCTTTCTCCCTGCAGCTTCCATCTAGGTAATCCCATTGAGCTCGTGGCCTTAAAAACGAGCTTTATGATAATCTCCTATGTCCAGCTTTGGATCTCTCCCTTGAGCACAGGTACAGCTCTCTAGCTGTTTCCATTAGATCTCCACTTGGATGTGTCACTGGAGCCACCTGGACGGAGGGCAGTTTCATAGCTTTAGGTCTATCTATAAATTCCACTGCAAGACCTGCACCTTGGAGATATACAGCCCAAAGAGCAAAGAAAAATAATGGCCACTGTTTATAATTTAAAAAATGCAAATAACTGGTAAAGTACGTTATGAAAAAAGGATGAGGCAGATGATTTGTAATGATATAGAAAAATCTTTATGTGTGTCTATATGTGTTGTGTGTGTGCTCGTATATGCATAGAATATTGCTGGAAGGATACAAATGAAACTGGGGTTCACCAAGAGTTTGGAGGCAGGGAGGGTCTTTAGTGGAAAGCAGGCATTGTTTTCACTGTATACACATTTGGTGTTTGGATTTTTTGTACTAGATGCATTTTTTCGAAAGAAAATGAGTTCATAGGAAAAAACGCATGCCCCCAAATGTTGCTAACAGTGTTTCCCCGCCCACAGGTAACTTAAAAATATGTATGTAGTCAGATTTATGTCTTTTTCTTTATATTTTTTTGCTTTTATGCCTTGCATATGAAGCCTTTTTCACTACAGAGTTTGAAAAATAGCTATCCACGTGTTCTTCTAGTTCTTCTATAGTTTCACTTTTTTAATTTAAAGTTTTGGTGCATCCGGAGTTTATCTTGGGTAAGGAGTAAAATACTGGTCTAGCTTATTTTTTCCAATCTCTGGTCATGTATGCCTACACTATTTATTGTAGGCATCTCTCCTTTTTGCATGAATGTCATTTCTATCATATATTAAATTTTCATATACACACGTGTCCATTTCTGGACTCTATTCTCTTCACGGATCTGACTACTTATTTTCGCCATCACATTACTTTAATTACTTACTCTGTACTTATAATCTTCAAAATACTTTGTCAAATAAAGCCGAAGGAAACAACTGAGAAAAACATTTGCAGTTCACATCACAGACATAATGCTCACATTCTTAACATACAAGAGCTCTTAAGATAGATAAGGAAAAGACTAACCCATTAATTATTAGATAGTTAATCTTTTCCAGATAAGAAAAGTTTAAATGACTTGTAAATATTTGAAAAGATGCTCAACAATCCTCAAAATAAGAGAAATGCAAAATGAAATCACTAAGATATTTCCACCAGTCAGATTTACAAAGTCAAATCAGTGTGACCACTGTGTTTGGGAGGATGTGAGTAAAAAGGCAGTCTCATCCAATGCTTGGTTGGGTGAAAATTGGCACCACATTCATGAACGGAAATACAGTGTCATCTTTTAAAATTAAAAATGCATATCCCTTTTGACAAAGCAATTTCACTTCAAGGTGTTTAACCTATAGTTAAGCTCGTACACGTACAAAGTGACGTATCTATGAGGTTATTGACCGCAGAGTTTACTTCCCGTCAAGAGGGAACTGATTAAATAAATGATGGTACAGCCACACAATGCAATGCTAACAGCTGAGGGAAAGAATAAAGGCGGCTCTACAGGAAACTCAGGACCCCTGGTGGTGCGGTGTTAAAGAGCTGCGCCTGCTCACCCAAAGGTCAGCAGTTTGAATCCATCAGCAGCTCCTTGGAAACCCTATGGGGCAGTTCTACTCTGTCCTGTAGGGTCGCTATGAGTTGGAATGGCAACAGGTTTTTATGATAAACTGATGTAGGATGATTTTCCACATACGTTAACTGATCAAGGCATGGCATTAAAATGGAGTATGTGATATGCTACCACTTGTGAGGAAGAAAAAGGTATTTTTTATTGAACATACATAGAATATTTCTGGAAGGATATGCAAAACAACTGGTTTGAAGATTGTTTCTGGGGGGGGGGAACTGGATAGACAGACGGATATTTCCGTTTTTCTGTACGCCCTTTACCACTAGTGGCATAGTGGTTAAGAGCTACAGCTGCTAACCAAAAGGTCGGCAGTTCGAATCTACCAGGCACTCCTTGGAAACCCTATGGGGCAGTTGGAAACCCTGTGGCATAGTGGTTAAGAGTTTGGCTGCTAACCAAAAGGTCAGCAGTTTGAATCCACCAGGCGCTCCTTGGAAACCCTATGGTGCAGTTCTACTCTGTCCTATAGGGTCGCTGTGAGTCAGAATCGACTGGACGGCAATGGGTTTGGTTCAACGGGTTTTGTACCTTTTAAATTTTGTATAACGTATTGTCTGTTGAAACAAAAATCTTCTAAATACAAATTTATAAAGAGATTCTATTTTAAAATAGTGGAGTAAATAATGCGCTTCCCTTTCTACTTCCAGAAATCACCAAAGGCATCAGGAAACAGAAGTAGGAATGCAAACTCTATTTTGATCAAAGTAGGAGACATCTATCAACTGAAATCATAATTTATGTTATTTGTTGTCGAGTTGATGCCAACCACATGTGTGTGGAGTAGAATGGTACTCCATAGGGTTTTCAAGGCTGTGACCTTTCAGAAACAGATTGTCAGGCCTTACTTCCCAGGTGACTCTGGGTGAGTTTGAACCACCGACCTTTTTGGACAGTAGCCCAGTGCTTAAACATTTGGGCTGTCAAACGCAGTAAAGGTCAATCAGGGTGCAGGAGGATGCTGAGAGGAAGCACTTGAAGCTGTAGACAACAAGCTAGCAAAGCAGTTCTCTAAAGAAGTTGCTGTATCCTGGGGCAAAATCAACAACCTCTAGTTGGAACAAGGGCAAGAAATTCTTTGGACTTATGCTTTAACAAACAAAGTAACACCCACAGGAAGTAGCACTGAATGAGCAGTCTTGCAGATGTGCCATTTTTGTAGGAAGCAGCCTGTCAGTGAGGCAGAATGGAAAATGACAGCCTCATTAGCAGCCCTTGCTAGCTTGGAACATGATCCTGTGTCCTTCTCAAAAAGTCTCTTGTAAAAAGCTAATCCAGAAAGAATTTTCCTCCTTTACTTCTGTTACAGTTAAAGAGGTGCCCCTGTTCTTATGTTTTCTCATATCTTCTCGATTAGCATGTAAATGTAACACAAAAAGCAAAACAAAATCTTCCTTCAAATCTACAAACTTCCTGCTGTCATCTTCATAACTCGTACTCTTCACAACAAAACTTCTTGAAAAAGTTGTGTATTCACAGTACCTCCATTTCCTTCACTCATTCTTCAACCTCCTCCAGTATGGCCTCTGTCCACTCCTTTCTTGCTCAGATCTCCAAAGACCTCTGTGTCACTAATGCCTGTGGCCCCTTTTCAGGCTTCATCTTACTTGATGTCTCTGTAGCATTGCCTCTGTTGGTCTCTGTCATGGATTGAATTGTGTCCCCCCAAAAATGTGTGTAGCACCTTGGCTAGGTCATGATTCCCAGTATTGTATGATTGTGTTATCTGATGTGATTTCCTTATGTGTTGTAAACTCTACCACTGTGATGAGATTATATGTGATCTCCTCCTGTCTTGTAAATTACATCACTGTGATGAGGTTATACTGATGAGGTTGACAAGATCAGTGTCTTAATGCAATCTCTTTTGAGATATAAAAGAGAGAAGCGAGCAGAGACACATGGGAACCTCATACCGCCAAGAAAGCAGTGCTGGGAGCGAGCGCGTCCTTTGGACCTGAGGTTTCTGTGCAGAGAAGCTCCCAGACCAAGGGAAGACTGATGACATGGGCTTTCCTCCAGAGCTGATGGAGAAAGCATTCCTCTGGAGCTGATGCCCTGAATTTGGACTTGTAGCCTACTGGACTGTGAGAGAATAAATTTCTCTTTGTAAAGCTATCCACTTGTGGTACTTCTGTTAGAGCAGCACTAGATGACTGAGACAGTCTCTTAGACCCTTGGCTCTGCATTGTATTCTTCTGGGTCTCCTCCTCTTTCTAGGCATACCTTCACAGTCGCCTCTGCTGGCTCCTTCTCTTTTAGTCAACCATTAAATATTGTAGTTTCTTAGGACTATGTCCCATGCTTTCTTCTCTTCTTAATTGATCCCTCCCTATGTGGTCTTATCCACTTGTATGATTTCAAAATTATCACCAATATTCAAACTTCTTTTAAATATGTATCTCTAGTTTATCATTGTCTTCTAAGTTCTTGACCCATTTATCATAAAGCCAACTTCCTACTGGACATCCTTACCTGAATGTCCCGAGGGTACATGAAGCTCAGCGTGATCCAGACCCAACCCATGATTCTCTCCTCTCCTCTTTCCCCAGTGAAGACCCCTTCCCCACTAGCGTGTTCCCTTTAGAAGTAGCTGCACCCGTACCCCTCATTTGCTCAAGCCAGAACCATGTACATCATAAAGTCCTGAATCTTATGCCCTTTAGATAGCTCTCAAATCCTTAAATTTTCCATCATCCCCACTGCCACTACCCCTGAGCCCAGGCACTGTTATCTCTCACCTGGTTTCCTCCTAACTGGTTTCTCTGCCAACACTCTTCCCCTTTTAATTCCATTCTCCACAAGCATTCAGAGTAACCTTTCTAAAATGGAATTGTAGCTCTCCTGCCTCCAATCCTTTAATGGTACCTTGCTACTCTTAGGATGAAGTCCAAAATCCTATGAGCTTCTGGGGATCTGGTCTCAGCCCACCTCTGTGGTCTTATTTTGAGCTCCTCCGCCCTTTCTTTCTATGCTCCAGCCACAACAGACTTTCATGTTTTCAAATGTTATGCTCTCTTCTGCTTCACAGTCTTTGCTGTCCTTTTTGCCTGGAATAATTCCCTCGCCCCAGGTGAAGCTTAACTATGTTTCCTTTAGCGCCCTGCACTTCTCCTTCACGAGACTCAGCACCCTGGTAATAACTTGTTTCACAGCCGTCTTTCCTGCTAAGCAGGAGGGCAGAGACTCGGTTGTGCTCACTGCTGTGCTCCCGCTTCTGGTTTTCTGGTCTGGGCAATTGTCAAGTCTCAGCTTCTATGCCATTCCCTGATGATACCCTGAGCATAGTGAACTGCCAAGCTCTTGTTGGCTCAGGTGAAACTTTCTCCGGCACAATCATTCCCAAAGAGGCAGCCTTTGTAAATCCTATCAAGACTGACAGCATCAAGCATCCTCAATCCTATGGGAGTGGTGGGTGTAATGTTCAACCAGACAGCATCACAGTGGGCTGGTCATCTGCCCCGGGCCCAGAAAACATTGAACTCTTTGACCTGACCTAAGCTTTTCTTTACTCATTGTTTTTCTTCCTTTCCCAGTCTCCTTTCACAACAACTTCCTTGAGGGGAAGTCTGTTCTAACCCCATATATTGACCATTCCTTATTCTCTTCCTGTTCATTAGTTCAGTTCATTATAAATTAGCAGCCCCCCCCCATATCACCACTGTGGATAGCATTCATTCACAATTCATTCAACTACTATTTGTTGAGTGCCTACAATGTGCCATGCACTGCTCTTGTTGGTACTGGAAATGCAACAGTGAGCAAAGCAGACACATCTCTGCCCTCAGGAAATTTACAGTCTAGTGAAAAGTCATTATAATAACAGCCAACACCCTTTGAGTGCTTGCTATGTGCTAGCCATGGTTCTAAGCACTCTGCTTGTTCTAACTCACTTAACCATCACAAAATGCTACAAGGTAAGTGCATTTTCACTATTTTACTGCAAAAGACCTCTTTAAAGTGTCAAAAAGCAAAGCTATCACTTAGAGGACTAAGCTGCGCCTGACCCAAGCCATGGTATTTTCAACCGCCTCATACGCATGCAAAAGCTGGACAATGAATACGGAAGACTGAAGAAGAATTAATGGCCTTTGGATTATGGTGTTGGAGAAGAATATTGAATATACCATGGACTGCTAGAAGAATGAACAAGTCTGTTTTGGAAGAAGTACAGCCAGAACGCTCCTTAGAAGCAAGGATGGCGAGGCTTCGTCTCACATACACTGGACATGTTATCAAGAGGGACCAGTCTCTGGAGAAGGACATCCTGCTTGGTAAAGTAGAGGGTCAGTGTAAAAGAGGGAGACCCTCAATGAGATGGATTGACACAGTGGCTGCAACAATGGGCTTGAGCATAACAAAGATTATGAGGATGGTGCAGGAGCGGGCAGTTATGCTCTCTTCTGTTGTACATAGGGTCACTATGAGTTGGAACCGACTTGACGGCACCTAATAATAACAACGCAGATGAGAAAAATGAGGCATGGGGCAGTTAATGGAGCCCAAAGGTCACACAGCTTACCATAAATGGCAGAGCCAGAACAAAAACCCAGGCAGTTGAACTCCAGAGCCTGTGGTCTTAACCATTACCCTCTACTGCCTCTCATCCTCCCCTAGAGCCGCTTTGGGACACATGTTTTGTTCATTCCTGTCTCCTTCCTACAAAACGAATTGCATTTTCTGTTCTTCTGTCTGGAACTTTCTCCCTTCAGCTCTCACGTGGCTGATTACCTTATTTCATTCCGATTTTTGGTCTTCTTAGAGAGGATGGCCTTCCACAAGCACCTTATCTAAAATAGCCCCTTTCCCAACCCCACCCTCCATCTCCTTCCTTCTTTTTTCTCCTAGATTTTATCACTACCTGAATATCTATTTGTGCTTATCATCTGTATCTCCCTCCTTCCCCTAGAATGCAGATTCCATGAAAGAAAGTTTATTTCTTATTCACCACTGAATTCCTAGCACCTGGAACAGTGCCAGACACATGGTAAGTGCTCAACAAATGTTTGTTGATTGAGCAAATAAAACAAGAGGGAAGGAGAAAGCTGGGGAACAAATGAAATAGCAAGCTGGTTGTAATTAATGTTTGCTGTTTGATGACTAATAACAAAAAGAATTTCTAAGCAACCCACCTGGCCAAGAAAAAAATCATGGGCATAGCAACATGATGAAATGCTATGCAGCCATGAAAAATGTTAAGAGTACAGACACAATTATAATAAAATGAGATTATTAAATAATAATCACTGAGGAAAAATAACACAAGAGAATCTATACACAGTTGTTACTGGAATGGGTACACATTTCTCAAAACGCAAATTCAGGTGTGCAAAAAGTGTAACTTAGAGAGTCCCTCCCCACCCCCCCAATAATTGAACTTAATTTATAGTTCAAGGCCTCAACCTGGGGCTTTGTTTTGGTTAATTCAGTGTCTGATACCACTTCATTAGCTAAGGTTGTTTGAGTTCTAGGGGGCTCCACCCTGGGGGAGGATGGAGCTGGTCCTTAGTCATTGCCAAATATATTTTGCTTAGTCATCATAGTTCTTGTCTGGTCTCTGGTGGGAGAGTCCATGGATATGGCTGTTCCCTCTTCTCCTCTCTACATCTGATTCTCTCTCATCTCCTTCCATAATCTTCAGTGCGGATGAGGCCATCAGGCCATCACCAGCTACTCTCCATCACTCTGGGGCCACTGGGCACTCCCTGGGGCTGCCCTGGGCCTCTCTCCAGGTACATCACCAGCCAGTTCTACTCTACATTTCTGGGCCATGCTGGGCATGTGAGCCTCTCTCTAAGACTTGAACCTCTAGCTTCACCAAGAAACAAGGCACAGAACAGCTCTATTTTCAAATCCTCCAAATGTTTTTTGGGTTTATGTTGTCCACCACGACCTCCCCAGCCCTGATTAAGATCCATCCCAGGGCTGGCTGGAGAGCCACACAGGATCACACACCAACGTCCAAGCTCCCCTCTCCCTCCTTCAGCCCAGGACTTTCTTCATTTGCTTAGCGGAGGCAAATAACTGGATCTGACTGAGGCAGGATTCTCCATATACTGAGGTAAAATAAAGGCTGGATTAGGAAAGGCCTCATACTCAGGGTGAGGAAGACACAGCCATGCTCTGTGCAGCCCACATTAGACAGGACAGGCAGCCATGACCCAGTGCCTCTCTCTTCATCCACCTACTGGCTTTGTGTAAGCACCTGGAATCAGAAGCATCCCTGGGAAAACTGAGTGGAATCCCCATGTGATTGATAGAACCCTGAATTGACAAGGACTTTCTTAAACTGGACGTTGGTCTTCCAACATTCAGCATAATGGGGCTCAAGACAGAAATTAAGTTAAAAAAATAGAAAATTAAAGATGGCTAAATTTCTTGTATACCTGTGTGATGGCTTGCAATTCTCTGGTATCTTTTTAAAATCTAGTTATGTGAATGCATATGAACCAGATGTTAATTTAAACATGAAACGAACTAGGGTATTTCATTCATTGAATTCTTGTTTTTTGAAATTTAAATCTGTTTAAATGTGTTTTTTTTTTTAATTTGAAATTCTTGTTTCTGAAAATTTATCAACATAAACACACATATGCGCACACACATTGATAAAGGGTAATGGTGGCAAAGGGCATAAGAAGGAGGAGTAGTTAGGGTCTTTGAGCATCCCCTCTGCTGCTCACACGGAGACTCATCACAGAGGAGTTGACACTCCAATGAGCAGCACTTACCCTCAAGGACGGAGGTCATGATGCTGACAACACTCATTGCCCTTTGGGCTCGGAAAGGTTCATTCAAGTATTCTGCTGACAGGAAAATCTTCTGTCCCTCATCGAGTGCCTGCTGAGACATCAACATAGAATCAGGACACTCCTCCAATGTGAAGTCTTTGGTGATAAAGATGGATCACACAGTTTCTAATTGCCCAGCCTCCAGTGGCCGAGAGTGGCTCAGTGAAGCCACGATCCTCCGCAGTCATGCTTGGAGACACAGGGCTGTTGCTCAAACTTGGTCTGGGAGCTCAGGCATGGGGACCAGGACACACAGTTGGGGTGGAATCAGAGCTCAGACTGGCTATGAACTAAGTGGCCTGGGCTCACCTGAGGTTCTGTAAACTGATGGCCTAGGACAGGACCTGTGCACCAGAGCGGGGATGGGGCTGCCTCAAGGGTCACTGAGGCTTCTACCCAGGGGAGATGACAGCTTCAGTGTCAGTGGGCCAAGCAGTCATTATAAGACTTCCTCCGGTCACTGCATATGACTTCTATGTAGAATTCTGACTCCACAATCTGCTCTCCCAGTCTCCTCTCTAATAGACCCATATCCCTCTCCAATAGACCCATATCCCTCTCCAATACACAATTCCACATTCTTTTGCAGAAAGCATTTGTGCATCTTGATTATGCAGCTGCTAATTGCCTGACACAATATTTCAAAATCTCTTCTATGGCTGGGAGATGAGATAGTGTCCTGTCTTTTTAGCTCTTCTCTCTTTGAGTCTTCACTGGAAGTCCCCTCTGGGGACTATGCCAAGCACCTAACTCTACTCTAGCCACATATTTACTCAGGACCTGGGGACTCTGGGGCCACGACAGTTGATTCCACACTGCGAAAACCATTCAGAATGCAAATTCAACAAGCATGTATTGAAGTTCATAGGTATATGAGGTGCTTAATAAATATAAAGAAATTTAGAAATTTTCCAACCATGAGGACTCAACAAATGATACTAGCAGCTACTATTTATTATTTTTGTCAGACACACGTATTTAACTAACTAACCCACTGCCGTTGAGTTCATTCCTACTCACAGTGATCTATAGGACAGAGGTGAGCTGCTCCATAGGGTTCCCAAGGCTGTAATCTTTATGGAAGCAGACTGCCACATTTTTCTCCTGAGGAATGGCTGGTGGGTTCGAACTGCCAACCTTTTGGTTAGCAGCCAAGTGCTTTAACCACTGTACCACCAGAGATCCTTATACAAATGTAGGTGATTTATTATTTAATGTAATCCTCCCAGTATCTGGAAACCTTTCATGGAAGGAGTTATGGAGGCTTGAAGAATTTAAGGCACTTGTTAAAGGTGGCTTTGTTGACAAATGGCACAGCTGGGACTGAAACTCAGGCCCGTGTGACAAAGAAGGTCTTAGAGAGTTAATCCTGCACAAACCAAAAAACTAAACTAGAATGAATCAAGTTTAGAGTAAGTTGGGAAAAGATAATCTCAGAACAGATAGGCAAGGGGGAGGGGTCCATCACAAGGTTTCTCGAATGAGGCATTCTGGAAGCTCTACCTTTCAAACTCTTTGTTGGTGATGCTCCGTTTGCCCCGGAGACCCTCTCTCCTTCTCTGCCTGGCTCTGTGTCTGGAGAGAGTGGCCTATACAAACTGCACCACCTCCCCACTGGTTCTGGTCAGGTTCAGCCAATGGGAGAACAGATGGAAGATCAGAGAGAGGATGGAAGGAGAGACGTCCAGCTGGGCTATAGTTGGGTAATGGCTGCAAGGCTCTACCTAAGATCCTAAGTTCTGTCGGGCAGCCTCTCTTGTACAGTCACAGCTCTTTGTTGGGTTGTGATTCTGGTGCCTTCCCTCACCGCTTCAACCTAGGCACGTTACAACTTTGCACTGATGCTAGTCTCTAGGTGCCTCACTGTCTGTTATTAGTTCCCTTAACCCAGCCTGAGAATCCAAACAAAACCAGTTGTCATTGAGTCAACTCCAACTCATGGCAACCTCAGAGGGCTCCATAGGATTTTCAATGGCTGATTTTTTAAAAAGTAGATCTCCAGGCCTTTCTTCTGAGGTACCTCTGGTGGACTCGAAACTCCAACCTTTCAGTTAGCAGCCAAGTGTTTAACTGTTTATGCCACCCAGGGAGTAACACAGCCCACTCTTCTGCAAGTACTTCTTTAAATTCTCTCCAGTGGCCCACTGGAGCAGTTTATTTGTTTCTTGCTGGGACCCTGAATCACATGGCCTCCTGTCTTAGTTACCTAGTGCTGCTATGACAGAAACACCTCATGTGGGTGGTTGTAACAGACAGAAACTTATTCTCTCACAGTCCAGAAGGCTAGAAGCCCAAATTCCAGGCACCGGCTCCAGGGGAAGGCTTTCTCTCTCTGTTAGCTCTCAGGGAAGGTCTTTGTCAACAATCTTCCCTGGTCTAGGAGCTTCTCAGTGCAGGGACACCAGGTCCAAAGGACATGCTCTGCTCCCAGCGCTATTTTCTTAGTGGTAATGAGGCCCCACCCCTCTCTGCTCTATTCTGTCTTTTATATCTCAAAAAAGACTGACTCAAGATGCAACCTAATCCTGTAGATTGAGTCCTGACTCATTAACATAACTGCCTCTAATCCTCCCTCATTAACAGCATACCCACTGCCATGGAGTTGATTCCAACTCATAGCGACCCTATAGGACAGAGTAGAACTGCCCCATAAAGTTTCCAGGTTGTAGCTGGTGGATTTGAACTGCTGACCTTTTGATTAGCAGCCTAAGCTCTTAACCACTGCACCACCAGGGAGATAAATAGATCGTATCACAAAATGGTGGACAACCACACAATACTGGGAATCATGGCCTAGCCAAGTTGACACACATTTTGGGGGGACACAATTCAATCCGTAACAGTATCCAATCAGAGATTGAGCTAAGACAACTCCGTAAGACTCATCTGAGTCAGTGGAACACTTCTCTGTATTCCTGACTAGCCAGACAGAGTGAGTAACGACACTAGAAGCATCATTACTGAAACTGGAAGGGTGGAACTCAAATTAAATGGCGGCTCTCAGTCCGACGAGGGGTCCCTGGTTTGCTATTACACTCTATGATTATTCTAATGAGGGTGTTGGCCAGTTAGCCACTGGTGCCTGATTGGTGCATTTTGGCAAGTCACTTCTCCAGTGAGTAAGTCAAAGGGTACTTAGCTTCTGTTAAGATCTGCTCTGGGCCCCTCTCAAAATTTCTCTGGCTCCATTTGTCAAATCTAGGTTAGTTTGGCAGAGCCATAGGCAGGAAGAGAAGGGCCCTCAGTTTTCCTCATACTCATCCAGGGAGCAAGTAGGCTTATCTCTAAAACAGTGATAGTGGTTGGGGACAGAGAAGAGCTGTGAAGAAATAGGGGGTCAAATAGAAAAGAATCTGTTCACTGTATTGCACTGTAAACCAGAAAACCTGTTAGATCTCAGGCATATCCAATCTCTCTCTCTGGGCCTCACCTTCCTTGTCTATAAAATGGAGGTGGGGGCCCTGGTTGCACAGTGGTTAAAGCGCTCAGATGCTAACCGAAATGTCACAGTTAGAATCCATCAGCCACTCTGTGGGAGAAAGATGTGGCAGTCTGCTTCCATTAAGATTTGCAGCCTTGGAAACCCTATGGGGCAGTTCTACTCTGTCCTACAGGGTCTCTATGAGTCGGAATTGACTCGACTGCAGTGGGTTTGGTTTGGTTGTGTTGATGGGTTGATGTCTAGAGGGCCCTTCTATTGGTGACATCCTGGATTCTTGGCCCAAGGCCTCTAGCTGGAGGGCAGCTGGAGAGAGTCTGGAGCATTCACAAACTCACCAAGCCTTCCATGGCTCCAGGGGCAAGCTCACTAGTGGGAAGCGTGGGATGTCCATCTTCTCCATGCCCTAAGCCAGGGTTGGAGGGTTGAAGCAGCGGGCTCCTAGGGAGGGGGCCTTGCTGGCCAGCACCCCTACCCAGCAGCAGAGAGCCCCGATGGCTTTCACGGTCTCCGAGGAAGACTCCATCATCTGTGATCCCGTCAGGGAATGAGACGTCTTGGCCAGGAGCCAGGAAATGGAACACACTGCCATGGCTAGCCCGGCGTCTCCCAGAGGCGAGACCTAGGAAAGACTGGGTATTGCCCCAAAAGAGAAGGAGAGAGAAATCAGGCTGAAAGCTAGTCCTGTAGGCAAGTCTGGAACTCAACACTTCCCTCCACTCACTCCTATTTCCCTGTCCTTGTTTTCACGACCTTCCAGGAGCTCAGTACAGAGCTCAAGATATAAAGAGTATTCCTGGTAGACATATGGGGGAGGGCAGGATGGGAACTGGGGAAAATAATAATCTAGGCAGATTCTGGGATAAGGATGAGAGAATATTATCAGTGAATAGGTCTTCATGACCAAGGCATGTCAGAGGACAACCTTGTCATTCACATGGGTCAGCTATTTGCCAGCCTTTGGCCATGTGGCTGGACAAAGCTGTCTCTCAAATTCCCTCCTTCACATGCAAAGTTATGACCTAAACAGGTTCTATTATGCTGCACCAGTACTGGGACATGCTTGGTAAATCGTTGTTGAATGAAAGAGTAAAAAAACAAACCAAACCGTCAAGTCGATTCTAACTCATAGTGACCCTATAGGACAGAGTAGAACTGCCCCATACAGTTTCCAAGGAGCCCCTGGTGGATTTGAACTGCTGACCTTTTCGTTAGCAGCCATAGGGTTTCCAAATGAAAGAGTAGTGAACTTTATTGTGTGAAAATTAGGTTCTACAATTTATTAGATCTAGCCTGTATGGGTGTGAGAGTTTGTGTTGCAAAGGAAGAGACTAGTGCTTTTTAATGTAATGATTTTCCAGATCCCTTGAGGCAAGCTTTGAACAGTAACAATGGGAAGATTGAAAGAAGAGTTGCAGTCTAATTTCCTGGAAGAACAATGTCATTCCTTCAGATCAATAATATTTCCTATCAAAATCTTCCACTGAGGGAACTGTGTGGCTTACAGTTGCCAGAGGAAAGGAGCTAGGTCCAGAAGCCTCCACGGAGTTAGTGTGCCAGTCTGGTTAGTTCCCATGACCACCGTGGGAACCTGACTATAATAAGCCATTAATTTTGTTCTCAGGTCATATATAGTGTTTCTAAAATCTAAACATTGACTTTCTAAAAAAACTCTGATTGTACTGCTGGATTTTTTCCCCTTCCTTAATTCCATTTATTTACTAAATGACTGAAGTTGGGGCATCTTGCAATTTAGAGTTCTCCTTACTTATCCCATCATCTCATAGAAGTGGAGTTTCCTTTCTTGATAATCTGTAACCAAGTCCTGTTTAGCAACCATCATTGAAAACCTGGTATTATAAGCAGAGTGTTCTCTGCCTAGAATACATGTCCAAGGACTATGGAACTCATAAAAATCCATGAATCCTTCCTACTTTTGAAGCAAAGAATCAGAGTTGGCACACTCATGTTAAAGACGGGAAGACTGAGTTATTTGCACTTGGGCACCAAGCAAATCAATACAGAAACTGGGAAGAAAACTTTGGCTCCATATTTGACAGACAGCACCTCTCTGGCCATCAATTAATATTTCAGAAATAATCTATTTGACAAATGGTGGGCAGTGACCTCTGGATCTAAGCATTAGATCTTTAAAATACATCATCCAAGAAGGCCAGCTGATCTCCTACGTGTCTCCCGCAACCTCTGCTGTGTCTCCCCCAGGTCCTTGCTCCACCCCTTGTCTTGTTGTTCTTAGTCAGAAAATGGCTTTATATAAGGACTTCCTAAGGTTGATTCAGCACATGAACACACCTGGGAAAGATGAAGGGTGGACACCAATCAATCAGTTAGCATTAAAGAAATACCCAGACACTGTCTCCTCACCTTTGCACATACATGTTCTTCCCTCTGCCTGAAATATACTCCTCCTCAAACCCTCCCAGTCCTCAATCACTGGAGGAACCCCTATTCACTCTTGACTGTTCACCTCAATTATCCCCTCCTCCGTGAAGGCTTTGCTGATACGCTCCACCCTCGTAGGAGTGGAAGTTTCTGTCTCTATTCCCAAAACACCGTGTGCATGTCTTTATTGTAGTATTAATCACGTAGCTGTTTATGCATCTCCTTCTTTCACTCAAATGGAGGTCCTTGAGGAAAGGGACCATGTCTTACTCATCTCTTTATACCAAGCACCTAGTATTGTTGAATGAACAAGACACCGTTCCTTTCTACCCTTTGAAGGTAAGCCTAGCTGGAGAGACAAGTATACACACACACACCGAACAATTATTGGACATCCACGTGCTAATCTGTGTGGGACTGACTGAATGGGGAAAATTAGATCCCAATTCAGAGTGTCATTGACTTTTCCATGGAAGCTGTGATTCATCCTTCTCTATGACTGTCAGAGCCCTAGTCAAATCCTCTTTGACACATCTTCTGAACTGTGCCCCGTGCATGCCAGGTGATGCTCAAAAGAGTCAGAGCAAGGAAGGGAAGGGCACAGATGCAGAAAAACGCAGCAGTGTGGGTGTGTCCCTGAGGCCAGTGTGTGTGCATGTGTGTGTGTGTTTGTGTGCATGTCAGTCTGGGGTTGGAGAGATGGTATTCCAAAAAGTAGACCATCCTTCAGGTGAGCAAAGGAAAAGAGGTTGACAGGGAAGCGAGGGGCAGGAAACCTTCTATTAGCATGGGAACTACCCTCCCACAAAAGGTTATCCTCGTTCAGTCATGTGGGAAGGGCACATTTGATGTACACAGGACTTTCAGGGGCCAGGGAAGTGGAGGAAGGTAACTTGGTGAGTACTGGAATCTTGGAGTGGGAGGCAGAAGACTGTGATGGGGGGATAGAGTTTCTACAAGGTCAGAGGCGATGTTCTGAAGCCATTTGTAAAGCTGGATTGTGTAACAGAGATAGATTATAGGATCTTCTGTGCCAGCAAGGGAGAATCTGGGCTGCAGAGCCTCAAGAATGAGGTCAGAAAGAAGCTTGTAAAAGAGTTCAGCACCACAGACAGGACAATACCCCAGCTCCACAATTGCAGACCAGGGCATCAGAGGGAAGGTAACCCTTGATGACTACACACACCTCAAGGTCAGCATGTCCAATAGTAAGGTCACCACCTTCCCTCCAAACATGAGTTCTTCCTCCAGGGCTCCTATCTTGGCACCACCACCCATCTAATGGCCCAATCCTGAAAACTGGAAGTCATCTTGGACTCCTTTCTCCTTTTAACACATTCCACAATCCCAGGCTTATTGATTTTCACCCAGAAAAGTCTTCATAATCCACCCTTTTCCTTATCCACAACTACTCCGTCTTACTTTAGGTCATGATTTTGAGAGGAGGGTCTATTACTAAAACATCCTCCTAATCTCTGTGCCTCCAGTTCTCTTCCTGCTACAAATCTCCTCCCACTTTGACCCATTCTCCATGGCAGCTGAAAAGGTGGGTAATCTTTTTAGAGCCCAAATATGAGCCCCTTACCATCCTTTGCTGGTTGTAGGGCTCAGATTGGGGTGATTTGTTGTCTGTGGAGCCCTCTGACACTCTTGGTTTTGTCCTGTGCCTTTTCTCACTGGCATTTTTCGAGGTTAAAGGAGATCCACTGTGGGAGTGGAGAGAGGCTGTGTCAACCCCCAGTGCTGCCAGTACCTGAGGAGAGAGAACAGAAGCTGCAGCCGACAGGGTCTTGTTCAGCTTAGCATAAATGTGTCCCCCAGACATGGGGGAACATAGGGTGGAGGCATATGAAGTCGGAGGTCAAGGGTCAGGGCCGGGCAGTAGTGGGATTGGGACATGCCCTCGCAAACCTCCTGTTCCTTCCGGAGCATCTCTAGGGTCTCCTGGAACTTCTTCTCCTTTGCTTCAATTTCGTCAAGGGTAGCCTGGTTCTGCTCCTCATATGCCATGGTGACCACAGCCAAGATCAGGTTGACCAGATAGAAAGATCCCAGGAAGATGACAAGCACGAAAAAGACCATATAGATTTTCCCAGAAGCCCTCAGGGTCTGCAGATTCAGGAGAAAGAAGAGAGGCATGTTGTACCCACAACACACTAGCCCTTCAAGTTAAGTCAGGTTTGTATAGGAAAAATGTAGTCATGCAGCTGACCCACCAGCTTCGAACCAAGTCTGTGTGGGAACATGCAGATCCATACCTGCTGGTAGAGGCGTTCCCAGGAATCCTGCGTCATGAGGCGGAACAGTGAGAGGAAAGCCCAAGCAAAGGAGTCGAAGCTGGTGTAGTTAAAGTCCGGGTTTTCGGTTGTTTTAAGGCAGAAATAACCTGAGGGACAGTGGCTGCAGGAAGAACAGAGGAGGTCACCCATTGCTCAGCCACCAGCTCACTGGGGGCAAGGCAGCCCAGGACTGTGGGAAGACCAAGGGTTTGAAGTCAGAGATCAGAGTTCAAGGCCTGGCCTTCCTCTTATTAGCTGGCTGACCTTGGACACTTAGTCTCGTCACAGCTCTGGGTGCAGTTCCGTGTGTAGGGAAGTGACTCGGGGAAGGCTAGCTGACTGCTCAGACATGGCCCCGTTAGGTGGCAAGCTCTTTGCAAGTTAACACCAGGGGAGGGAGAGTCAGGGACAATGAGGTGGTCTGAAAACCTGAGCCTGGAGATTGTCTACTAACGGAGAGCTCACAGGGGCCAGGCTCACTGACCAATTATACCTAACAATGAAAATGACACTTTCCACTTAGGAGCACCCACTGCGGGCTGTGTGTTCTATGCCCTTCACTAATACTATAGTCTAATCTGATCAACAATCCTTCTTTACAGTTGAGGAAGCTGGGGCTCAGAGAGGAGAAGTCACGTGCTTAAATCACACAAGGTGCCACCGTAACAGAAACGTAACTGTCAGCCCAGTACTGGAGTCGTCCAGCCTCCTCCTGAAGACTTGCTGATGATGGAAGGCCAAATTAAAGATGCCTGCCTAGGGAGGGCTGGGTTGGGAAGGTGGTGGGCTCCTCTCTCTCTCTCTCACAGTAAGAGGATGAGCAGACATCAGGAACAATCTCTCAGCTCAGTGGGGATGGCGAGGTGAAGAAACCAGCAATGCCTTGTTTGTAGTTTGAGATCCTTCTGCTTCCAGGATTCCTCCACCAACGCTGATCTCTGGGGCTCTCCTCATTCCAGACACACATGCAGATACACAATCTCAGGACCCGTACAACCAATTAGGGTTCTGGCAACTTAATTACAATCAATCCCAATTCTATCTCCAACCTTGAAGGAGATCTGCAAGTTCCCAGCCTCTATTAACTAACATTCAGAGACGGTCCTTTAGTTTGTTCTCCCAGGAAGCTAGTCAAACCATTACCTGCAGGTTTGCCAGCTAACTCTGAGGGCAACCTTATTTCTATGTCTTCTGTAGAACCGACAGTAGTCACTATATCTCAGCAGCTACTTGCCTGATGCATCAGCAGCTAACTGCTCTGAGGATTAAATGGGAGTATGGTGACTTCAGCATAACCCAACTGTTGCTGTCGAATTGATTCTGACTCATAGCGACCCTATAGGACAGAGTAGAACTGCCCCAGAGGGTTTCCAAGGAGCAGCTGGTGGGTTCGAACTGCCAACCTTTTGGTTAACAGCCAAACTTTTAACCACTATGCCACCAGGGTTTCAGACTTCAGCATAGTAAATATTATATGGAAAATGCAAATTAAAATTCCTGCTATTTTTACCTCAGAAGCTACTGAGAGGATACACTGGAATAATATATGTGAAAAAATGCTGAAAACTGTCAAACGTTTCCTAGTACCCTAGACCCCAGGCACTTTCTCCCACAGTGCCACTGGTCAGTGTGGGACTCCACCCAGGGCTCTGGCTTCCCTGTGGTCCAGCACAGGACCGGGGTTTGGTGTTCCCAGCAGGCCCCTTCAGGACTCACTCTGCCCACTGTCCTGGGCTGGCTCCTTCCTTCCATCCCAGCGCTACTCATTCCTCTGTCCCTTGCTGGAACCTGCCTGACAGAATGCCTGGCTCTTTGGGGACTGAGAGAGAGGTCCATAAATGGTCCCACAACTTTACCACAAGCAGTGTTTGGGCTGCTCTGGAGTCCTCGCCTTGAGAAATTCCAACTCCGGACAGGAGGAGGACATTGAGGGCCCCTCAATTTAAATTTAAGTCAAAGGCAAAAGAAAACTTACATCAGTACACCTCGTTCCCTGAGCCACAGAACCAAATGCCAAGTGCATTTATGAGGAAAGAGGCCAAGGACCCTGATGTTGACCAAATCCTTCTGTTTGCTCCCACCCGTCAGCTCTCTCTGAGATGTTTTCCTAGTGGGCTGATGAAGGCAGGGCTTCCTGCAGGCCACACTCGCTTGGGCAACGTGGGCCCTTCAGCCAATCTGAGACTGGGGCCATTGTGAGCTCTGATTTCCCAGGCCCCCAGCCGTGGAGGTGGGAGAGGCGGGGCTTTCTGATTTGTTGCTTGAACTCTTTCTGTTCCTGTTTCACTCCAGTGGCCAAAGAAGCAAGCAGAGCCAAGGGTCCCCCACCCATTTGCTTTGCTTCACATTCTGTTCTGTCACCTGGAATGGCCTCCATCCAAACTACCTCTCTTCCATCCAGCCTGAAGACATCCTGTCTGCCCTTCAATGTTCACCTCAACCACTGCCTCCAGGAAGCCTTCCCTGACCTCCTTTCCTGACTCCCCACCATCCCCTCACTGTATTTTCCCAGCCCGTGGAGCCTCCAGCCCAGCACTTACTCTCGACAGTGTAGCCTCTTTACGTACATGCATCAGAGCCTGCAAACCGGCAGCCTGCAGGCTGAATTCGGCCCACAGAAGTATTTTGTCTGGCCCCATGATATGAAGAAATTTTTTTGGAATTGGAAGCCAATGTTTATAGTTGGGATGTTTCACAAAAAAATCCAGTTGTCCTGCCTCTCTCTTAAAAGTTGGAAGAGCTGGAAGCTACAGACCCACATTTTTACATGGCAACAGAAGCTGGGCTAAGCAGTGGCTGCCGTCTCCAGATAGGGCATAGACTCTCAACTGCCATGGTCCTCACCTAGCGCACTCTACTCACTTGCATTGATGCATCTGGCTTCTGTAAGAATTTGGTGTTGCAAAGTCTGATGAATATGCTTCTTCCTCCATGTGAGAATAATGAAACCCGTGTGATGAAGTTATGATGGTTAAATGTAGAACTTCACACAAAACACATACTTAATAAATACTAGTCTTCCTGGGGTAGATTGTTTGCAAAAATGGCCACAATTATTCCACTTTCTGTACCCATGCCTTTTTGCAATATGGCTTTGCAGCTTCTCCCAGTAAGAGGTAGAGTCTAGCTCCCCACCCTTTGAATCTGGACTGGTCTGTAAGCTGCTTGGTCAGTAGAAGGCAGCAGAAATGATGTGGTGCCAGCTCTAAGCCTCAACAGGCCTTGTGTGCTTCCTTTCTCCCTCCTGGACCACTGTCTCTGCCATGAGAACAAACCCAGGCTAGCCTGTTGGGAGATGAGAGACCACGTGGAGCAGAGACAAGACATCCCAATTGAGGCCATCCTAGGCTAGCCATTTCCTAGTGCATAAGTCAGCCCAGCACAAGGTTCTGATATGCAGAATCGTAAGTTAATGTACGGTTGCTGTTTTAAACCACTCAGTTTTGGGGTAGTTTGTTATACAGCAAAAGCTAACTCATACACTCCCTCCCTATGAGCTCTGGAATGGCAAGGGCTATGGTTTATTCATGTTTGTGCCTTTCTCAGGGCCTAGGACCCAGTCCTTGTCCAGAAAATGCTGATGACAAGATGGAGAAAGGACTTGGAGGCTGTCATGGATTGAATTGTGTCCCCCCAAAAATGTGTGTAGCAACTTGGCTAGGTCATGATTCCCAGTATTGTATGACTGCATAATCTGATGTGATTTCCCTAAGTGTTGTAAACTCTACCACTATGATGAGGTTATACATGATCTCCTTATGTGTTGTAAATTCTGTCACTGTGATGAGGTTATGCCGATGAGGTTTACAAGATTAGGTAGTGTCTTAATCCAATCTCTTTTGAGATATAAAAGAGAGAAGTGAACAGAGACACATGGGAACCTCATACCACCAAGAAAGCAGTGCTGGGAGCAGAGCGCATCCTTTGGACCTGAGTTTCCTACGCTGAGATGCTCCCAGACCAAGAGAAGACTGATGCATCACAAGGACCTTCCAGACCAAGGGAAGATTGATGACACAGACCTTCCTCCAGAGCCAACAGCCTACTTGACTGAGAGAATAAACTTCTCTTTGTTAAAGCCATCCACTCGTGGTATTTCTGTTAGAGCAGCACTAGATGGCTAAGACAGGGGCATTGACGTGTTGTCATGGGTGGGCACTCACCCTGCGTCAGTTCCGTTGCCACACAGCAAGGGATCAGAGGTTCCCGGCTTGTTGATTTGGAAATCTGCAAAAGAAAGGAAGAAATGAGCCTCACAGATGGTTGTGAACCCTCCAACCGAAGCCTTGTGCAATGAAGGCAATGCCCCCTAAATCTCCTGCCCAAGGAAGGTGAGCACACTGGGCCACATGTACTCGGCATGCTGGGCCACACGGAAGGTGAAAAGTCACATGTAAGAAGAGAAAAGCTGAGCAGCGACTTCAGCTCTGAGCCCAAATAACTTGCATCTGGATTTATAGCTCATCTCCTTGCAGAAAGGGCACTGGACAATAGGAAATGCAGAACCCAAAAGTAAAATATGACTCAGGGGAAACATTTCAGTGGGAAAGAGGAATCAAAATACTTGTCCAATACAGACACTTGGAGCCTTCACACCCCGTGGCATCCAGACCTTCATCCGTGTGGCAGAAATTCCACTCGTGATTATAAGAGGAATTGGCTGTCTCATTAAGAAGTGTGCAGTTCTTGACACATTTGTTCTTGAGGTTGCCCTTGAAGAGCTGCAATCCCACCAGCGCGAAGACACTCAGGCAGAAGATGGTGAGAATGGTCACATCAGCCAGCTTCTTCACCGAGTGGATCAGCGCCCCCACGATGACCTTCAGCCCTGCGGGGAGATGACAACAATGCTCCCACATGGAGGAGGCAGCATGCACACAGCGCACTCGTGTGCCTGGAGTGCTTCATCTTAACCGTCACTCCCTCAAACCACACAGATGAGGTGTTTTACAAACGCTAGGGCAGTTCCAAGCCCAGTTCCTTGTCTGAACCTTGTGATAACTCTTTGAAACAGGTAGCCAGAGACTATTGTCACCATTGCAAAGATGAGGCAACTGAGACTCAAGCAACGCATTTCATATAATCTTTTTTTCTTTTTTAAATTTTATTGTGTTTTAGGTGAAAGTTTACAGCGCAAATTAGTTTCTCATTCAAAAATTTATACACAAATTGTGACGTCGATTGTAAACCCTGCAATGTGTCAGCACTCTCCCCCTTTCCCTTTCCACCCTGGGTTCCCTGTGTCCATTTGTCCAGGTTTCCTGTCCCTTCCTGCCTTCTTGTCTTTGCTTTTGGGCAGGTGTTGCCCATTTAGTCTCATATATTTGATTGAACTAAGAAGCACATTCCTCATGTGTATTATTGTTTGTTTATAGGCCTGTCTAATCTTTGGCTGAAAGGTGGACTTTGGGAGTGGCTTGAGTTCTGAGTTAGCAGGGTGTCCAGGGGCCATAGTCTCAGGGGTTCCTCCAGTCTTCATACCATCTTAAGCCTAATAAATTGCTGAGACTAGAAATTAAAAAAAATTGTTGCATGCCTACTATGTGCCAGGCATCATGCTAGGCATGAGGCTCTTAACTTCATGGCAGTCATTTGGCAGCTATTTTTCTGCACCTACCTCAGTTCTGGGAGACAGCTCAAGGCTTGAGACACATACACCTCCTTGTATGCAAGTTGTGTGTGTGAGGAAAGAGAGCGAGCTGGCTGCCAGGGAGACAGAGCGAGATAGAGATGGAGAAGCAGAGAGAAAGAGGGAGACTGATACATAGAACCAGAGATGGACAGAGCCATAGCATGAAACCACGAGAGACACTCGGAGAAAGAGCCACTGAGGAGAAAGCAGAAAGAAGCCTTGACAGAGCCCTGAGGTATGAGTATGGGTTGAGTGAAGAGAGAAGAGAGGGTACTCCTGATAGGAGCAGCATGGCCCAGGCAGGGGGTGAGCAAGGACATGGAGTACTTGTGGGCCCACAGGTGGACTCTGGAGCAAGATGCAAAGTGGGTAGAGGTGAGAGGTGAGGCAGGAGAGGGGTTCTGGACAGACCTCTCAGGGTCTTCCCAGCTAAGAGTATGTGAGAAAGACACCAAGGGGCTCCTTTTACTGTGGGCTTGTATGTTTTCTGCTCCCTGGGCCTCAGTTTCTTTGTCCTTTAGATGGAGACAATAGTCTTTGCCCCGAAACCTTGCAGGGCTCTTGTGAAAATCAGAGGACATTAGGCTTTGGAAATCAATGTATACTCTGTGAATAAACACAGTGATTAAAGCATCTCACCTGGGATCACAGAAACTGTTTTTAAAGCTCTAAGAACTCTGAATGTCCGCAGGCCTGAGACTCCTTGTAAGTCTATTGCTTCGCCAATGTATCTGTAGGGCCAGAAGTCAGTCAGCATCTCTGCAAGGAGAGGGTCCTGGGAGTGGATGCACCATAAATAAGGACAATTTGCTGTAACACAAGCCTAGGAAGAACCCAGAACAGAAAAAGGGAATCTAGAGGTTCTTCCACCTATAGATTCCCTAACACTGACTTGAGGTTGAAATATTTTCCAGTATGGGTCATTTGAGAAGATGCATTACAGTCTAGGTCTCTCTGTGTGAAAACATTCAGGCTTGGCCAGCTAGTCTCCTCAGATGCTGGTTCTTTAGGGAAAGACCTCCATGTTGGGTAGGTACAAGGCTGAGCTTTGTCTGCTCCACTCTAAGAGGCCAATTATAAGATCAGACTTGAGGTCTCTGACTTCTCCCTGTGGGTGTGGACAGACCTGGGAAAGTGACCCCAAAGCAACACTCAGTAGTAAGAAAATCCCAGGCCATGCTGTTGCAAATGAGGAAGATGGACTGAGATGAGGACACATCTCTAGTGTGTGAGCATGGGCACACCCATAGCCTCACGTGGACACACGCCCAGATCAACGTGGAGAAATACTCACGCCAGGGTAATGACACTAAAATCCAGCCAGTTCCAGGGATCTCTCAGGTAAGTGAACTCATTTAGACAAAATCCTCTTGCCAGTATCTTTATCAAGGCTTCAAAAGTGTAAATGACAGTGAAGACGTACCTGGAAGGGAAGGTGGAAAAGGGTGGGAGCATTAACTGTGCCATGAGCTTGGATGACTCCTTGTTTGTCCAGGAGGGAGAGATGAGCTGCTGTGATTGTTCCAATGGAAAACAAAATAAACACCACCAAAGTTGGGGAGGGGAAGAGGTGAAAGTAAGGAGACAAGATGCAGACTGAGGAATACAGAAGGTTCATACAAATGAATGGGGGTGGACAGAGATATGTGTGTGGCTAAACTGGTAGGCAGCCTCTCTTGCTCTGAAGGTAGAGAGAAAGTAATGGCAGATGGAGAACCTTCACAATGTTAACATCCTCTTCCTGAGTGAGTCTGGTGATTCAAGAGGCAGAATGAGGATTTTCCTGTCCCATGAGGCTCCTAGAAGCTCCCAGAAGCTCCCTGTCCTGAGGGCAGCTGAAGGCTCCTTTCCCAACCCGTTGACGGTGGAAGATGGATGAGTCCCTGATACGTCCTCCTTCTCCAGACTTCTCTAGTTCAGATTGCCTTTTATTCTTACACCATGCCTGGTCTGCCAGAGTTCTTGGCCTCAGGGACCCCAGCCTAGGAGCTTTATAGTGTGGCATTAGGAAGCAACTAGATGTCGTGGGAAAAAGCATCTAAATCCACAAATGCTTTCCCAAGAAGATAGTTCCTATTAGATCCATTTCAAAACAGCCCTCTTATTCTGCTGGGTACCTTGGTAGGTTTGGATTTGAAGAGTTGGGTCTGGAACTGAGGTTGAGTAGCGGAGTGTTTCTAAACTTTCAGAATCTCTGGATCACCTACAGCAGTGGTTCTCAAACTCAAATGAGCATCAGAACCACCAGGAAAGCTTGTTCAAACAAAGATTCCTGGGCACCTCCTCCAGAGTATCTGATTCAGTAAGTCTAGGGTGGGGCCCAAGGATTTGCATTCTTAACATGTTCCCAGTTGATGCTGATGCTGCTGACCTGGGGACAACCCTTTGAGAACAACTGACCTAAGGAATTTAGGTGCACACATAAATTTGGATATTTTTTAATCACCTCAATTTTTAAAACTATAAATGTAAAACCTGTTATTAAAAACAGGAAGATTTTTGGTTAAGTGTGGCAGATTGAACTCATGCACTTACCTCCATCCTTTCTGAAACCCATCTAAAATGACAGTAAAAGGATTTTTTAAAAAAGCATAAACCCACTAAGACAAAGATAATGGAGAACACAGCGAGAACATTTTGGAAGCTGGAGAGCAGACGGATGGGTGGTATCTGACAGAGCACCCAAGAAAGCTGAAACCTCAGATGGAAGTGGGGAATGGCCAGAACCTCATAACTACAGAACCACACTGCAGAACCCTGGAACTGCTCATGAGTTAGAGATGCTAAGTACCTCTGAAAATGGGGTTTGGATAGAGGATGGTAAATGAGGTTGAAAACACTAGGAATGTTTGAAAGTCTATATAAGAAGCAGTTGGGCTTTCTAGATTCCACCCCATGCCAATCATCCAGTGAATAACTGCCTCTCCCACTCCAGAAATAGATTGGATGTTCCTTCTCTCAAGAGGGAGAGAGTTGCATACTGAAACAGGGTAAGTTTATATATTGAAAGGCAAACAATCCCTCCCCTCTTCTGCCTCTAAATGCGTTCCTAGACTGCTGGCATTCAGGTTTATAGCCTAGGAAGATTCTGCACTTTTGATATGAACAGCCAGCAAAGAATATCAGAATTTGAGGAAGGTCTCTTACATCAAAGAACAAAGTACCCAAAAAGAAAAAGGGAAAAACAGCAATGCAGGGAGCAGAAGAAAAATTGGGGGGGGGGGGGAACTATCATGAATATTTTTAGAGCGTTAAGAGATGAGAAAATATAGCATATGTAAAGCAAGAACAGAAGGTTATTAAAAACGAACATTCGAAGAACAAAATAGAGCTTTCAAATATAAAACTATGACATCAAAAGTAAAACATTGACAAAAGGGCTGGAAAGAAAGTTGAAGAAATTTCACATAAAGAGGAACACAAAGACAGAAATGGATGAGGTGATAAAAATTACGAAAATCAGACAATCAGACTAGTAGGTACAATCTAACTAATAGGAGGTCTAGAAATAAAGATCAAAAGAAATAAAGTGAACCTCTGAAACTATCGCCCTGAGATAATCTTTAACCTTAAACCAAAAATATCCCCTGAAGTCTTCTTAAAACCAAACAATAGTTTGGCTTAACTAATAAAGAATGTCTGCCTTGAGCATTATGCTCTTTTAAGAACTATCTATATGGGATCAAACTATATTGGTGTATGTTTTGCTCTGTATGTTCTCAACAACAACAAAATAAAATTATATATATGTGTATACATACATACATATATATATAAAAGAAATAGACTGGAGGAAATTATTAAAAAAAAAATTAAAGAAAATTTCCCCAAACTGAGCAATCTGAATATTCAGTTGAAAATACCCACAGTGTTCAGGACAATGGATGATAAAAGGCTCTGATAACATCACAAAATATCAGAACTCTGTGAACAAAGAGAAGAGCATAGCATTTTTCTGAGAGAAAAAAAAAGGTCATATGTAAATGATTAGGAATCAAAATATCAGGTTTCTCAACAGCAACCTTGGAGATTAGAAGAGTTTGGGGAAAAAATTAGGGATAAATACATAGAAAACTGAGCAAATAAAGAAATGAAATCCTTATTAGCTACACAGAAAACAAAATCATTGTACAAAAAAGAAAATATAATCAAAGTACACTGCATGACACAGCTGTGAATATTATTTGATCAGCAATACTACTAGGTAAAAATATATGCAATCAGTATATATAATCAGACAATTTACATATTTTCTGATGGTCTAATAAAAATTATGATGTGATTATAATGGAAAGATGAGGGCAAGTGTATGTATGTGGTAACTGCCAGAAGAATGAACAAATCTGTCTAGGAAGAAGTACAGCCAGAATGCTGCTTAGAAGCAAGGATGGTGAGACAACTTCATCCACGTGCTTTGGACATCTTATCAGGAGGGACCAGTCCCTGGAGAAGGACATCACGCTTGGTAAAATAGAGGGTCAGCGAAAAAGAGGAAGACCCTCAATGAGATGGATTGACACAGTGGCTACAACAATGGGCTCAAGCATAACAAAGACTGTGGGGATGGCGCAGGATTAGGCAGTGTTTTGTTCTGTTCTGCACAGGATCGCTATGATTTGGAACGGACTCGACGGTACCTAATAACAACAACGTGTGGTAACAAGACTCTAATTCTTTCCTTTTCATAATCAGAAGTTAATAGATAACATCTACAATTGAAAAAATCAAGAAATAGCATGAATATATTATTATTGATACTGAGATGAGTAGCAGAAGAAAGAGGTGATGAAGTTGAACGTGGTTGCCTTTGGGAAAATACGATTAGCAATGAGTTGATGAAGGACATGGAATTTCCAGGTGTTTTTGTTGCTGTTAGAATCCTTATAGAATGATATGATTTTCAAACGACGAACAGGTGTACCTTAAATAAAAGTAAAAATTAAATTAAAACGGAAATAACAGCCATGCTTTTCATATCTGTGAGGGGAGTAATATTGTTTGAAATCATTCACGAAAACTCTAGATTTGGCTGGATAACCACTTGAGCTGTCAGCTTCCAAATCTAGTTGGTTTTTCCTCCCCAATCTTTTGTTTTCTAAATTAGAAAATCTTAACTCAGAATTATAGGCTGTTGGGAAGCTTTGATGGATATTTCTGGCTTTTCACATCAAACACAGACCCAGAAATTATGGAGACAGTTCTCTCTAAAGACTATTTTCAGTGTTCTATTAGAGGACGACTGCCCAGTTTAGCACAGTTAAAAGCTGGAAGGTTGAACATCTCAGCTTGGGAGGCAGCGGCTAATGGAGTCCACATCCCGTCTTTGTGGGTATTTTGTTCCGTGTTCAATTGTAGCATTTGGATGTGATTTTGAATATACCCAATGACATATCATTAGTGACTTTTCTTATGAATGAAGAAAGTCATTGGGTGTTGGGAAAAAGTCAAACTCTCAGCCACTGAGCCATTTGCACCGTCATTCAGTTTTAAGAAACCTTGATGTCTAGTCATTAAAAAGGGGTCCCCAGGTGGCACGGATAGTTAAATGCTTGGCTGTTAGCAGTTCGAACCCACCCAGAGATCTCTGGAAAGAAAGGCCTGCTTGCTGATCTGCTTTCAAAAGGTCACAGCCATGAAAACCCTATGGAGCACAGTTCTACTCTGACACATATGGGGCCACCATGAGTCAGAGGCGACTTGATTGACAATTGGATTTTTTGAATTATTAGAAAGCCTGATGTTTAGGCCCTGAAGTCAAAGATCCATACTGCTCAAAATACTGACTGTATCGCTGAGACGCAACACTTGCATTCACAGAAATGGTCATTAAAGAAGTTGCGTTTCTTATTTTACAAAAATATGGCGCACACCTTTGCTTGTTTGCCATCAGAGACATTCGGTGTGGAGGGCAGTGTCTTGTGCTCACCTTTTGTTTCTGCACAGTTTGCTCAGGAGACACATATGCTAAGTGGCCACAATCCATTTGTGTTCACAATTTTCACTGTTGCCCTCAACAGCAAATCGGGATCTGAAGGTGTATTATGGAGCCCCGGCTGTTTCTGTGAGTAAGGTCGCACTGGCATTTGGAAGCAATATCCTTCCATGTAGCAATGCCCCTCCTTGCTGTTCACATGGAGCTTTGTCAGCGCCGGCTCCAACACACCTTTTATGTCTATTTTATAGTTAACACGCCAGTGTTCCAACAAACCAGCAATCTCTCTGATTTTTTTTTTTTAAAACTAGCTTTAGGTGGAAACAACCCAAGCATTCATCAACAGATAAATGGATAAACAAAACGCAGTGTACATACAATGAAGCATTATTCAGCCATGGAGAGAAGTAACAGCCTGATACATGCTAGGAACACAGAGAAGCCTTGAAATCATCATGCTAAGTGGAAAATGCCACATATTGTATGATTCC